ACTCTCCTGTTTTCCCTCGTCAGACTTTGAGCAGCCGATCCCTGATGACCGTTACCATGGCATCTACTTTGCAATGCTGCTGGCTGGAGTGGGTTTCCTGCTGCCGTACAACAGCTTCATCACCGACGTCGACTACCTGCATCACAAGTTTCAGGGTATTAATGTGCATGAGGCGATGCATGCAAATGCACAAACGAGCCCTCTGCACCCTCAGGAGCTCCACCTTTCTGGTGTGTTTCAGGAACATCCATAGTGTTTGACATGAGTCTGACGTACATAGTGGTCGCTCTGCTGGCTGTGATCCTCAACAATGTGCTGGTGGAGAGGCTCAGCATGCACACCAGGATTACTGTGGGTGAGTCCAGACTTTATCCAGGACTGAAGAACTTATCATAAGTGTTTCATATCAATTGATGTCAATAATTATTAGTTCGTTTTTTGTTTTAAATAATCTGAAATGCTGCCAAAATGGTGACCTTTTCTGTTTTTATCCACAATTTTCACTCTGCACTGTTGTTGTTTATTTTTAATTAGTTATGAGACACTGTGGAGAAACATGAAACTGCTGCTGCGCAAATTACTCAAGCAGGTCATTGCTAGGTAACCATAGAGTGAATGGGTTGCTAGGTAACCAAAGAGCCAGTGGGTTAGTTGACGCCACCAACCTTGCTTAGCTCGCTGCGCCGTTTAGGTTGAACGGCTCAAGTCTTTCCTCTGCCTACGTCTCCCAGAATGCTGTGCAGTTCTTGATCAGAGTTCAGTGAATATGCTACATGCTGAATATTGAATATTCCATTGATACTGATCGTGTGTCTATTGCGATATGTGTTGTTATTGAATTATTGTGCAGCCCCAGCTTTAACTGAGAGTAGCTATAAAAAGATAATAACGTGTGCCATCTTTCAAAGCATTTAAAATCTTAACTAGCATAGTGCTTTCTCAAGTACAGCTCCCTTAAAATTTTTTTAAAATTATGCTAAATTAATCATTGAAATGTCTTTAAAACAACTCCATATCTATGATGTGCGTAGGTTCAATTTATCACTGTGATTTTGGAGATAAGTACATAAACGTAAAGGCTCCTCAGTAGCAGAAATGAAAGGAAAACCATCCTTGTAGCAGGAATAAAAAAAGTATAGTTTTTTAAAAAATATCTCTGAGGAGGATTTTGGTCTCTCTGCTGTTTTTCACTGCGTGAGCGCGAGCGTTCACCGCTGCACTCTGTACCTTAAAATAGCTCTGCCTGCACCCTTGAGGGAATAACTTTTGAAATGTTTCGTCTGCTCAGGAGCTTTTCTGTGTGGTTTATAAATTCGTAGCTCTGAGATTAAACTGCGAAGGCGATGATGTTCTTCAAGACGGCCTTGTCATATATTTAAACGTGTATATCTACACACCATAGACCAGATGAGTTTAAATCATCGCTGTAACTCTGCAGGTTACATCTTAGCATTGGGGCCGCTCATCTTTGTCAGCTTGTTTGACGTCTGGTTGGAAAAATTCACCACCAAGCAGGCTTACGTCATCAACCTGTTGTCAGTGGGAGTGGTGGCCTTCGGATGCACAGGTAGGTTATCTCTACCATTAAACAGCTTGATCAATTTACCTAACTGGACAGCACAAATTTAGTGCAATTTCACTGAGACAAATGTAAGGATGAATGAAAATGTAATAAACAGCAAGTATTTCCGACGAAGGCACTAAAAAGAGCAAGACACAAGGAAGCAAATAAAAAGAGCAAACGAGAGAATCCGACGAGGATGTTACACTTCCCTCAGTGTAACATAAACACTGAGGGAAGCAAAGACAAACACAATACAGTTCTGGTAGTTAACAGACGAAATCCAAGAGGATGGGAGAGCAGAAAGCAAGACTGACAGAGAGAAACAGATTCTGGAAGTAAAACAACCATATTTAGATCAAGTTTAAGTTTAAATAAATAATCAAGTCTGTTCAATCGTATACACAAGCTTAAATCTGTGTATGCAATTAATTGTAGGTACATCACAGTTCAGTCAAGGTCAGTTTGTCCTTCTTGCTCATAAAACGTGTACAGTTTAAGGAAGCCCAGCCAACTGTATTAAAATTGTGCAACACCATCCTACTGAGCATGCATGTGACCACAGTGGAAAGTAACAACTCCTTTTTAACAAGCAGGAAGAGAAGATGGCTCAGAGTTAACAAGCACCGGTCGCAATCGACTCAGGGCTTAAGAAAAGAGCAGACGCACAACAACAAAAAGAAAAGTGAAACAGGAAGGACTATTTGTGTTGAAGAAACATGATGTTTTAATTAGGGGTGCACCGATTTATCAGTCAGACGATTTATCGGTGCCGATTTCCTTAATTTTGGGAGATCGGTGATCAGCCGATTTTTACATGTGAAGCCGATCTTATGCACCGATGTTATCAACCTCGGCAAAGGTCTAAAAATCAACCACTGTGCTTTTCTTTTCTCGTGTGAGAGGTTTGACTGACAAGCCGGCCGACCAGTTCATGTCTGCGCATCTACAGTTAACAGTAGTCACCCTACTGTTGAAAAGTCAGCAACTTTCTTAATATATTGAGCAACATTTCAGACAAAATAATCGGCATCGGCCAAAATCGGAATCGGTAAGTTAGGCTTTTTAAAAGATTGGTGATCAGCGATCGGCCAGAAAACTGCAATTGGTGCAGCCCGCTGGTTTTAATGGCTGCAACAGCTCTTTAGTGGCTTCATCTACGAGAGAAACACAAGAAGATAGATAAGCTCTGAAACAAACAGTAGTTCAATCTATGCAATTAAAGATTGCCCAGATTGTTCACAAAGAGAGAAAACATGAAGTTATTAACAGCTAAACTCGGACATGTAAGGCCAGGTCTACCATCTATGATGAGAAATAACAAAGAGAGAACAAGAAGCTAATTTCAGAATTAAACACATATAGAGCATAATTGGAGAGTAGTAGGAAAAAGCAGCAGAGTGAGGGAAAGTGTTCAGTATGAGTTCCAGCAGCCTAAATCTATAGAAACATAATAAGATAGGTAGTTGCAGCTGATGAGCTTCATAAAAAAGGTAAAGCTTTAGCCTAAAATAGGCAGGAGTTAGTTCCAGCATGACACCTGAATTATCTGCCTCCCGTTCTACGTTTAGAAACTAATAGCCAGCAGTAAACCTGGTGGAGTCTGAGAGCTAAGAACTGTGTTAGGAACCATCTCTGATTTAAGATGGAGCTTGATCAGTAAGATGCAAAACAAATAATTTTAAATACTATTCTGAATTTAACAAAGAGCCAAGGAAGAGAAGCTAAAACTGAAAAAATATAATTAAACTTTTGTCAGAGGGCTCCCTGAAATAACTACAGTTTTTTGGGCTTCCCACAAAGACAGATATGATCGAACAGCCTTGAGGTAACTGAGGCTTTGACAAGGCTTTATTCATCTCCCTTGGAAAAGTTATTTCAAATTTTGGTTGAAAAAAAAAATCGATTTTAATAACTTAGGTGATTTCTTGTTATCGGATGTAAGTAAAAGAGGCTTTTTGCTCTATAAAATAAATTTTCATGCAAATAATGAAATTTTTTTGTTTTTAAGGCATTTATAAAGTTCATAACTTTAGACAAACTTTCACTCTTTTTAATAGATTTTTATTACCTGTCAGCTGTAATAGAAACAGCTGTTATTAAGTAATCACACTGCGCTAACAGATGTCTAAAGTTGGTCAGAATGTAATTAAATATGGATATCTATGTTGGAGGATGATGAAGATGAGTTCTGCCAGATGGATCTTTGGTACAATCAACACAAAACTAGAAGGACAAGTTTAGATTTTGTTGTCTTTCTGACTCTAATATGGTCTGTTTTATTGACCTGGTCACAGTCTAGTTCCTGGAAATATTCTCTAAAGTTGCCTACAGAGGTCCAGGAACAAGACTGTCTCCATAAATCGTGTTGTCGCAGCATTCGGTCTCCGTTTGCACTCATAACCACTTCCCTCTCGCTCTCCCAGTGCAGCAGTCCAGTTTCTATGGTTACATGGGGATGCTGCCCAAGAGGTACACTCAAGGGGTGATGACCGGGGAAAGTAAGTATGCTCACAAAGAAACGTAATGTTTCCACACACTTACGTTCTCTGACAGTGGCCGAACGTTTCAGGCACGGCCGGAGTGATCATCTCGCTGTCCCGGATCTTCACCAAGCTGCTGATCCCTGACGAGAAGAAGAACACGCTGATCTTCTTCCTCATCTCCATCAGCATGGAGATGCTGTGCTTTCTGCTGCACCTCGTCGTCCGACGCTCGCGCTTCGTCCGCTACTACACCGGCCACGCCCAGGGCAAAGGTCAAGTCAAATGTCACGACCCACGGGACGCTGGGACTGGATACAGGGTCCATCACGATGTCACCGCAGAGGAAGTGATATTTGTATGTTTTTCCCCGACAACGGCGCCGTAAAAATGTTTTGATTTAACTTAAACTTTTGCTGCATTTCATCCGCTAATTTGAATTTAATTAGGAATTGTTTGTTTTAGATACATCAACACGTAACAGGAAGGAAAATAATGAAAGGCTTTGACAAAATTTTGTTCAAATATTGATTTGAGCTGAGTGTTACATATTCTCACTCAGCCATTACTTTGTTTTCTCGCCTTTCACTCCAGTTAAAACAACAAATCCTCTGGGGATGTTTGAATGTCTAGAGCTGAATTTCTTTTCTTCTTTTCCTCAAACAAAGCACAAACTCAGCCAGATTGGCTGAAGATGGTCTGTAGACATACATTTTCATGTCCTGTTGAAGATTCTCAACTGGATTTAGATCAGGACTTTGACTGGTCCGTTCTGACACATGATTATGCTTCGACCTAAATTATCCCGTTGTAGCTCTGGCTGCTGGAAGGTGACGCTGCGCCCCGACCTGAAGCTTTCCACAGGTTTTACATATCATTTTGCATGCAGGTCATAAAGTTGCACTTTGGTCTCATCTTACCAGAGAACCTTCAGAAGCATGTTTGTTGTTTGCTTCACATTTCTTCCTTTGAGCAATGGCTTTCACCCTGACTCTCTGAGTAGTTAAGCTGTGCGTCGCTTATTGTTTCCCTGATAAATCCTCACGGTTTAGGTTCACAGGAATCTCTCATGTTTGCAGCTGTATGATAGTGTAGGTATTCATAAGACATGTGGGACAGTGTTTAGTTAGACTCCTGTTTTCTAACCTAGCAGCTTCCTCCCTGATCCGTCTGCTGTGTTCAAGCTTGTCTCAATCTGAAGTGAAGCTAACGCCCTGAAAACTTTGAAAATGCACTTTACGCTTTCACTGTCGTATAACAGTTTAAGAAATCTTAAATTATGTTTTAAAGAATAATCCAGATGAATAAACATGTCTGACTCTAACTGTAAACTGAGATAACCCTTTAATTTACGACCACATGTCCTAAATTAAAGGACATGTGCTCTCTTGGGTGAATCAGCCAGTTATGGTGTAAGTTATTATTTTCTACAGTATCTCCTTTGTGCACACCACTGGAGGCGTCCATTCCTATTGGCTGGAGAAATAATAAATAGGAACTCATTTTATCCACAATCACATATATTCTTACGCCCCTCTGTGCAGAGACACTCCACACTTTTCAGATGATTTTTTTGTCAATTGTTTTTAAAAAATAATTTTCCTTATTTCGTCACACTGATGCAGTTCTTCATGTTAAGTTCTCGCACCAAATCCCAGCTGAACACTTTGAAGTTTGGGAAAATGTTCAAACGGACACTTTGGAGTTTAAATTCTGCGTGGAGCAGCAGATACTCTCCCTGCTGTTGCCCTTCCACATTTTGATAATAAAACCCAGCATACAGTAAGTGTCACAACCGTAAACTATTTCAGGAGGAAACGACAGGAACTTCAACTATGCTGCTGCGTCCTTGTTGGTATCTGAGGGGAGACTTTTCCTATCAGACCTGGTTTAAAAATGCAGAGTTATTCACGGGCTGCTTTTTTTTGGCTGCCATTCAAAAAGACAAACCTTTGAGCCAAAATGAGAGAGAGAGGAAGAGAGAGAGCTGTGTTATTAGGATGCGATATGAAGGACAGAACGTGACGTGGGTTGATGAGGGAAAACAGGGGTGAAGGGAAAAGAGGCTTAGGCCTTCTGAATAAAGGATCCATGTTGATTAGAATAAGAGACAGACGGAAAAGACTTATCTTTCTGAAAATGACTGCAGCGGAAAAGGGGGAAGATAAGGTGAGGGGAGAGGGCAAGAGAGCAGAAGAGCAGTCGAGACAATGAAATGGTGGGTAAAGAAAAGGAAAAAATGAAGGAGGAAAAGCAGAATTCATTTTGTAGAGACGTTTAAAGCAGAACCGGATTTCTGTGTTTTAATCCCTGCATGCCATTAAGCCTGTGTCAGGCATCTAATAAAAACCCCTGGTGTTACACTGTAGTGTGTGTGTGTGAGATCGGGCTGCGTTTGTGTGTCCTGAAGCTGTTGCCGAGGGAAACGATGGGCTGTGCATTATGGGACAATCAGGAGTACCAGTGCTTTTTGGCGTGCATGTCTTTTTAATCAGCTAATGGATCAGTCTCTCTGTTTGTGTGTGTGTGTGTAATTTAGGAAACCAAAGAAAGAAGCCTGTATCTGTCTGTGTGTGTGTGTGTGTGTGTGTGTGTG